TTGCAGGAGCAACATCAGGGGCGCTGATTGGTGCTTTACTGGGTGTAGTTGTTGCATTATCTGTAGTTACAGCTTTGTTGATACCATTTTGCTCAGCATGTAAAAATATAAAAGCAGGAAGAGGAGCAGCAGCTGGAGGTGCAGGGGCTGATGCAGTTAAAGCCGTCACTGCAGGTGTTGTCGGAGTTGCTGCTCTTGTAGGAGTCATTGCAGGAGCTTTAGTGTCAGGGGGAGCAGGTTCATCTCTTGCTTTAGGTGTTGTAGGAGTCGTTGGAGGAGTCACTGGATGGAAAGCTGCAGAAGAAGCTGATTCAGTGTATGACGCAATGACCAAAGCTGCAAAGCTGAACTGCGAGAATGCAACAGTTGTGGTTGAGAAGATAAGAGAATTAGTTGCTCTATTTTTAATGCTCTAATGCTTTTAATGATAAACTTGAGGAAAAAATAAAAAATAATTGAATACAATTTGTAATTCAGGTATATTCAGTAATGACAATTTCTAGTATGTACTTCTGTCCTCATTAAAAGCTTGGAAAACTAAAAATGCTAATGAGATTAATTTAGACCTTTCAATATTTTCAAATATTAAATTGTGGTGCAATCACACGTTAACTCCCCTGTACATTTATCATACAACTATGGGCTTTTTTTTTTTTTATCATTACTGATAAACTTGTCCTGCTTTTTATCTTTTCTTTCTTATTTCATCAGAGACAAATGTCCATAATACAATTGATAACCTGTTATAATTATGTCTATATAAAGTGTGTGATTGAGCACATTTTATTATTGCAAAGGACATAATGAATGAGAATAAAAATTACATGCTTTTAAAATGACACTTTGCAGTCTGTGCGTGACGTGTGCTTCAATATTTCATATACAGTACACTGTAAAAAATAACCGTGATTTTAACGGTAAAATACTGTAAAAATGCTACAGTGCAAAACTGTTAAATGGTAAAAAGAAAGGTTCCGTACTATACATGGTAAATAACTGTGATATAATTTTACAGTAAAATACCGTTAAATTTACAGTTTTTGAAAGTGAAAAAGAACAAATCAATTTATAATTTACAGTGAAAAACCGTAAATCGACATTCCCACAATTCCCTGTGTGACACTTCACATTTTATGTATTTTTGTTGAAATAACTATGGTTCCTCATAGTTTTATTGTTTTTTTTTTTTCAGTTATGTACATTAGGGTTATATGTTACATTTAATGTTTTTTTTTAAATTTCATGTGTGTTACCATGATGGTGCTTAATGTTTGTGTGAATGACATTGTGCCGCTTTAAGTAAGTATTGCTTTATACAAGTATTCACTTGTGATGAGCTATGATTGCTCATGTAACTTTCATCACTGCTGTGGTGATTGTTGGTTGTCAGTGTATTACAATGGTCTAAAACAGATATCAATACATTAATAAGTTGGTAAATCCATATTTTATCAGAAAATAAATTACGGTTTATTACTGTAAATTTGAAGTTAAGTTTGTAAAACCATTAATGTTCCTACCGTAATTTTAACGGTAAAGTTCTGGCAACCACAGCTGCCGTTTTTTTACCATAAAATTTACGGTTTATTTTTTACAGTGTAGGTTATATCATATGGAAATGCTTATATACAGATGTACACCTTATGCCAAGTTCAGACTGCACGATTTTGGCTCGCCGACAGGTTTTGAGAAATCGCCGACAAATGCCCGAAATCACAGGCTCGTTCACGCGAGTGACAATCACACAGTGTGAATGAGCAAAGACGTGATCTGAGAGAATCGCAGACGAGTCGCAGATGCCGTGAGACATTTGGCATGCTAAATATCTGGACCTGTCGGCGATTCAAAATCCTGCTGTGTGAAAAGTGTTCTGACTGAAAACTACATCGGCGATTAAAGGTTAACGCTTTATTTGCCATTTGTACCGATACATTAACTCTCATTTCGACCTTGGACCGTCTGGTTCCCATGTAAGTCCATTATATGGAGAAAAATCCTGGAATGTTTTCATCAAAAACCTTCATTTCTTTTCGACTAAGTTAAGAAAGACATGGACATCTTGGATGACATGGGGGTGAGTAAATTATCAGCAAAAGTTTTTTCAAAAGTGAACTAATCCTTTAATATCTGATATACTGACTATGAGTAACTAGTCAATTTATTCTCCTAACCCGAACCCTAACATCTAACCATAACAGTCTACAACAGTATACTAATCTAATGACAGTTAGTTGACATGTAGTTGGGAAGTTACTAATATTTAGTAGAATGTCTAAACTAGACTATCAAAATAAAGTGTAACCTAACAGATTGCTCATTACACAGCAGACACAATAATACATACAATATATTCATATGAATGAATCTGTGAATTGATAAGAGTATGGTGCTGGTAATGCCAAGTTCATGAGTTTTGTAATGTATTGATGACAGGACATGTGGTTGAACTGCCTTTAATAAAGATGGTAAAGCAATAGCGCCTCATAGTGTTCACCCTGTTATTACAATACAAGTTCTACTCGTATAATACATCTAATTGTTTCCTCTGTGGGTTTCTGACAGAAATAAAGTCACACTGGTCAGTAAAGAGTAAAGCTGGTAATGATGTGTTTTGGAGTTCAATCATTCTCTGCTGAGATTTCATGTATTTTATGTGCAGAGGATTTTACTAATGCCCAATTATCACTTAATTAATCACTAAATGATCTCATTAAAACATGTGCATTTAAACATATATCCAAACATACAAAAAAGTGTTGCCTTCCAATGCTAAAGCCAAACATCGCAGTCATGGCGCCAACTAAACCGACCTTGGCTAAGAGCCACCTTACGATTAAATGTAATATGACATGACAGAATATACACAGATGATCCCTGTATAAATATATACGGAGAAGTTAAAAAGTTGTATGAAGTAACAGCAAACCAGAGCTTATAGAAATATATGGGCTCTAAATGAAGCTACATGAACAGACCGAGCTGCCGTTGCTGACAAAATGTGTGCGCTGCTCTAGAACTCCCGCGTGAACTTTGTAACATTACAAATATGCTGATAAGACATTGGATGCATATTTTAATCAACATATATGACAATCAACTCCCTTTCCCAAATCAATAAACAAATCTGACAGGATGATTCGTCGAAAAAGATGAGCATTAATGCCGATACTGACACAAAAAGGTAAAATACACTGAACCACACTCTGACACTCTCTGAAAAACATCTACAATGGCATTAAATATTGTAACTTAGCCTTCATAGTTATGAATGCACAGCAATACCACAAAAGGAAGAAGACTTTTAGAAAATAATCAATGCCAGGAAAACGTCTCGGTTACGTATGTAACCCTAGTTCCCTGATAAGTAGGGTTGGGTATCGAGAATCGAGTATCGAATGGAACCGGGACTAACTTTTCGTTTTTCCTGGAATCGTTCAAAATTAAAAATTTCGTTTCCTAGTTTCGATATTCACAGTCCGCCGAGCGGAAGAAGAAACCGCTGAACAACACCAACGAAGAACGGTTGGCATAACCGCGCGAGTCGAACATGAGTAGCTTACGTCGGCGGTCCAAAGTGTGGCTTCACTTTTCTAAAAATTAACGAAATCTCGCCAAAATTTGGGACAAAAGGAGTATTTCCTTCAGAAAGGATTATTTCCTTCAGAAAGACCGTTGGTTAGCAAGGTTAGCTAAACTTTTTTGACCCTGCCTCTTAAAAGAATCGGAATCGAGAATCGTTAGGAACCGGAATCAAAACAAGGAATCGGAATTGGAATCAGAATCGTTCAAATTCAAACGATACCCAACCCTACTGATAAGGGAATGAGACGCTGCGTCAAACGCTGTGGGAACGCCACTGCGTTGTGCGTCATGAAGCAAGTATGGAATCAGCCCAATGGAGAGATGGAACTTCAAGGCGGGAGACGTCATCGACCAGGAAACTATAAAGCGCCCCAAAAACACAAGCGCATCAGCTTCTGATAGGCCTGAAGGAGCGCTAACGGAAGTGCGGGAAGTGTGGCGGAACGACGCAGCGTCTCGTTCCCTATCAGGGAACATGGGTTACATACGTAACCGAGACGTTCCCTTTCAAGGAAGCTTTGAGCTGCATCAAACGCCGTGGGAACGCGAATACCAACGTCGCCATAGGACCAAGTGACCGTCATGTGAGAACTAGCGCACAGAGGATGAGAGCACTTGTGCCCCAGGGGTAGAGCTTAAGTCTAGATCATAGAACTTAATAAACGTATGCGGTGAGGACCACCCAGCCGCATCACAGACATCACTCAGGGATACTCCTGACAATAAAGTTTTAGTAGTGGCCATACTCCTAGTAGAGTGGGCTCGTTCAGCCAAAGGTGAAGGCTGACCAGCCGACTCATAAGCAAGTGAGATAGCCTTGACCACCCACTTGCTCATTCTTTGTTTAGATGCAGGACACTCTTTCCTTTTTCATCCAAAAATGAAAAATTCCTGATTATTTACTCACACCAAAGCCGTCTAATATGTATATGATCTGGCACCCAACAAAATCCATTTTTAGGGCTTCAAACACCCAGCTGGCAAATAAGGGTCTTCTCTAATTAAAGGATTCACCATTTTCAGAACAAAATAATATACACTTTTTGAAAATTCTGAATGAACATTTAATCAAATGAAAGGTATGTTTCATTCAAAATCAAAGCCGGAGTGTAATCTCTATCCCAGAAAGTACAAAACGGACTCATGCAATTATGACCTATATGTTGTTTTTCAAGCAACATTGGTTTATTTTTTTCATATCCATAAATTATATACCATACAGTGCTGATTTCTATAGATTAGAGAAAAACATAAAGACACAAACACCAGATGTGCAAAGATATTCTTAAAATACATATAACGTGTTAATATTTTAGACATCTAAAGAATAGTAATCAATGGTGCTAGAAAACTTTGATAAAATCACATTATGTCATGACAATTAACAGAGAAATAAAACCACAATAAAATCACAATTAGTAGATTCACTCAGAAATTACTAAAGAACAAATCAAACAAATCAAAGTAAATAAGAAAAATAAAGAACACAAACATTGTCATCTTCTCAGTGCTAATATCTGCTGCAGATGAAGTTGAGTTTGCGAGTTTCAGGAAGGCTGATCCAGCGCGGATCTCCTCCAGACTGAACTGCTCCTTTTCTCTTCTCAAGTCTGCAGTTTTCCGGTCTCGTTCCGTTCCCTGGAGCCCAGTTCTGATAGCACACGATCTCTCCGCTCAACCAGAGCCACATGTTCATGCTGCAGTAGTTGTGTAAACCCAACCACACCGCCTCAGTAGACGCACGTTTAACCACATTCATCACCTCCTCCTGCATCTGGACTGAATGAACCGAGACCAGATCCGTATAATTCTGTCTGCAGTATCTCAGAGCTTCAGTCCACGTCAGAGTCTCAGTGATCAGAATCAGTTTATCTGGACACAAAACACACCACAAGCAAACACTAGAGAGAGACTGATCAAAAACAACATGCAGCACACACACTGTGGAGGAATCTGTCATGTCAGACATGTAGCGTGAACTTTAAGATATCTGGAGGTGATGGGTGGAGTGTGTGTGTGTGTGTGTGTGTGTGTGGATCTGCTCACCTTCATGACACACAAAAGGAAATCGGTTGCTGCAAGAGATGTCATCCCATTGTGCCTGACCGCTCTGAATGATCACAGCACAGTTTTCATTTCCTCCAGCATTATTAGGTTCACCAGGAGCCCAGTTTCTGAAAGAGGAGTCACTCTGATCTGACCACTGCCATGAGTCTCTGAACATACCGATCCAGACATCAGTCGATATGTGATTATCATTGATGAACTTCTGAATCTGTTGACTCGCATCCTGGTTCTTCACACTGACCAGATCAGTGTGATTCTGTCTGCAGAAACTCTGAGCATCTCTCCAGCTCTTCGCCTGATTGACAAAGACGAGTCCTGTGTTCACTTTAAGAAAAAGACATGGAAAGACATGCTTTACTATTTACACAGAGGTGGAAGCAGACATGCTTGAGCAATCGAATGATTAAATGAGCTCTTTAAACTAAAGCCGGGTGTCACGGAACGTGCAAGGTGTGAGGACTCAAATGGATGAGAATGGTAATTTATTACAAAAATAAACAAACACAAAGCAAAAACCCACGAGGGGGAAAAACACAATGAATAAAAATGAAAAACAACTGAACCTTAACATGAAGAGGAACACGGGGAACGGGAGACATTAGACAATGATCCAATAAAGACTGCAAACAAGAGGAGACTTAAGGGGACTAATCAATAGGGGAGAGGTGGAAGAACTCAAACCATAATCAGGTAACGAGGGGGAGGGATCAGACAACGACAAGAGCACATGGCCCAAAATAACAAAACACCCATGTTCAGCACAAGACAGGACAGGCATACGGCATTACCCCCTCCCTACGGAGCGGCTACCAGACGCTCCATAAGACCGGGGCGGGAAGGAAACACCGGGGCAGGGCGGGAGGGACAGACTGGGGCAGGGTGGGGCAGGAGGGACAAAAAGTTTAGTCTTGGGTGAAGCAGGTGGCCAGGCAGGAGATGCGGGCTCAGGAACAGACGCCGGCGCTCAGGAACAGACGACGGCTCAGGAACAGACGGCGGCTCAGGAACAGACACCGGCTCAGGAACAGACACCGACTCAGGAACAGACACAGACACCGGCTCAGGAACAGACACCAGAATAGCAACGGCCACTAGGACAGAAGCAAACACAGAAACAGACGCTAACTCCGATTCAGGAACAGACACTGGCTTCGGCTCTGAAACAGGCACTGGCTCCGGCTCTGGAACAGGCTCAGGAACAGACACTGGCTTCGGCTCTGGAACAGCAGGTCCTAAAGGTCTGATGGGCATCTCCAGATCTGTCTCAGACTGGGCAAACGGGATATGCACAGTTTCTGACTGGGCAGATGTGACGTGAACACTCTCTGGCTGGGCAGACGGGATGTGAACAGTCTCTGACTGGGCAGGCGGGACATGAACAGTCTCTGGTTGGGCAGGCAGGACGTGAACACTCTCTGGCTGGGCAGGCGGGACGTGAACACTCTCTGGCTGGGCAGGCGGGACGTGAACAGTCTCTGGCTGGGCAGGCGAGATGTGAACACTCTGTGGCTGGGCAGGCAGGACGTGAAAACTCTCTGGCTGGGCAGGCGGGACATGAACAGTCTCTGGCTGGGCAGACGAGACGTGAACAGTCTCTGGCTGGGCAGGCGGGACGTGAACAGTCTCTGGCTGGGCAGACGGGACCTGAACAGTCTCTGGCTGGGCAGGCGAGATGTGAACACTCTGTGGCTGGGCAGGCAGGACGTGAACACTCTCTGGCTGGGCAGATGTGACGTGAACACTCTCTGGCTGGGCAGACGGGATGTGAACAGTCTCTGACTGGGCAGGCGGGACATGAACAGTCTCTGGTTGGGCAGGCAGGACGTGAACACTCTCTGGCTGGGCAGGCGGGACGTGAACACTCTCTGGCTGGGCAGGCGGGACGTGAACAGTCTCTGGCTGGGCAGACGAGACGTGAACAGTCTCTGGCTGGGCAGACGGGATATGAATAGTCTCTGACTGGGCAGGCGGGACATGAACAGTCTCTGGCTGGGCAGACGGGACCTGAACAGTCTCTGGCTGGGCAGGCGAGATGTGAACACTCTGTGGCTGGGCAGGCAGGACGTGAACACTCTCTGGCTGGGCAGATGTGACGTGAACACTCTCTGGCTGGGCAGACGGGATGTGAACAGTCTCTGACTGGGCAGGCGGGACATGAACAGTCTCTGGTTGGGCAGGCAGGACGTGAACACTCTCTGGCTGGGCAGGCGGGACGTGAACACTCTCTGGCTGGGCAGGCGGGACGTGAACAGTCTCTGGCTGGGCAGACGAGACGTGAACAGTCTCTGGCTGGGCAGGCGGGACGTGAACAGTCTCTGGCTGGGCAGACGGGACCTGAACAGTATCTGGCTGGGCAGACGGGACATGAACAGTCTCTGACTGGGCAGGCGGGACATGAACAGTCTCTGGCTGGGCAGACGGGACCTGAACAGTCTCTGGCTGGGCAGGCGAGATGTGAACACTCTGTGGCTGGGCAGGCAGGACGTGAACACTCTCTGGCTGGGCAGACGAGACGTGAACAGTCTCTGGCTGGGCAGGCGGGACGTGAACAGTCTCTGGCTGAGCAGGCGGGACGTGAACAGTCTCTGGCTGGGCAGGCGGGACGTGAACAGTCTCTGGCTGAGCAGACGAGACGTGAACAGTCTCTGGCTGGGCAGGCGGGACGTGAACAGTCTCTGGCTGGGCAGGCGGGACGTGAACAGTCTCTGGCTGAGCAGACGAGACGTGAACAGTCTCTGGCTGGGCAGGCGGGACGTGAACAGTCTCTGGCTGAGCAGGCGGGACGTGAACAGTCTCTGGCTGGGCAGACGGGACCTGAACAGTCTCTGGCTGGGCAGGCGAGATGTGAACACTCTCTGGCTGGGCAGGCAGGACGTGAACACTCTCTGGCTGGGCAGACGAGACGTGAACAGTCTCTGGCTGGGCAGGCGGGACGTGAACAGTCTCTGGCTGAGCAGGCGGGACGTGAACAGTCTCTGGCTGGGCAGACGGGACCTAAACAGTCTCTGACTGGGCAGGCGGGACATGAACAGTCTCTGACTGGGCAGGCGGGACCTGAACAGTCTCTGGCTGGGCAGGCGAGATGTGAACACTCTGTGGCTGGGCAGGCAGGACGTGAACACTCTCTGGCTGGGCAGGCGGGACGTGAACAGTCTCTGACTGGGCAGGCGGGACATGAACAGTCTCTGACTGGGCAGGCGGGACCTGAACAGTCTCTGGCTGGGCAGGCGAGATGTGAACACTCTGTGGCTGGGCAGGCAGGACGTGAACACTCTCTGGCTGGGCAGGCGGGACGTGAACAGTCTCTGGCTGAGCAGGCGGGACGTGAACAGTCTCTGGCTGGGCAGGCGGGACGTGAACAGTCTCTGGCTGAGCAGACGAGACGTGAACAGTCTCTGGCTGGGCAGGCGGGACGTGAACAGTCTCTGGCTGAGCAGGCGGGACGTGAACAGTCTCTGGCTGGGCAGACGGGACCTGAACAGTCTCTGGCTGGGCAGGCGAGATGTGAACACTCTCTGGCTGGGCAGGCAGGACGTGAACACTCTCTGGCTGGGCAGGCGGGACGTGAACAGTCTCTGGCTGGGCAGGCAGGACGTGAACACTCTCTGGCTGGGCAGACGAGACGTGAACAGTCTCTGGCTGGGCAGGCGGGACGTGAACAGTCTCTGGCTGAGCAGGCGGGACGTGAACAGTCTCTGGCTGGGCAGACGGGACCTAAACAGTCTCTGGTAGGGCCGGCAGGACGTGAACAGTCTCTGGCTGGGCAGGCGGGACGTGAACAGTCTCTGGCTGAGCAGGCGGGACGTGAACAGTCTCTGGCTGGGTAGACGGGACGTGAACAGTCTCTGGCTGGGCAGACGTGACCTGAGCAGTCTCTAGCATGGCCTCCGGAATGGCAGCGGGCTGCTCAGGCACGGCCTCTGAAACTACCGCAGGCTGCACAGGGACAGCCTCCAAAACGACCGCAGGCTGTTCTGGAATGACCACTGGAGCATTGGGGAGGTAAGAAGTCCTTCTCCTTCTCCTCTGTCTTTGATGGCGAGGTGCAGACTCAGTGCTGGACAGGACCCCCGCCGAGGACTTTGGACTGGGCGGACCAGCGGTGAGGACCTTGGGCTGGAAGAAACCAGCGGTGGGGGCTTTGTACAGGACAGAACCCGCAATGATGGCCCTGTGCTGGGCGGGTCTAGCGACGAGGGCTTAATGATGAACAGGACCAGCGGTGATGAACTCGCTGGGTGGAACCCGCGACGAGCGACTTGTGCTGGACCAGACCAGTGGCTCCGGATCAGGAACATAACAGTAGAATTTGTCGACCACCTCCTCCCCTGCAACCTCCCCGAATTCCGGAGAACTTGGCCAAACGAGTCCCCTCGAACGACTCACTATCTCTGACGGAAGTAGTCACTGGAGATCTTGCTGCCGCAGCTTCCTCAGTCTTATGAGCCCATAAATCAAAACATTGAACGATGTTTAACCGAGCACTTCCTCCCCGGTCTGTGAACCTCCTCTCCGTGGTCCCCTCACTCCCCCATTCATAGGAGGAGGGTTACAGAATCCCGAACTTCTGGATCTATACATTTGTGATGGAGTCGGCCTTGCAGACAAGAGACTGGGACAAGAGACTGGTTGTGCCCCTCTTCTCCGCTGAGGCCACAAATGGTCGGATCGTTCTGTCACGGAACGTGCAAGGCAAAGAAGGTGTGAGAACTCAAATGCAGGAGAATGGTAATTTATTACAAAAACAAACACACAGCGAAAACTTATGGTGAAAAGACACAATGAATAAAAATGAAACAACTGAACCTTAACATGACATTTGACAACGATCCGACAAATACAGCAAACAAGAGGAGACTTAAGAAGGGGACTAATCAAGAGGGGACAGGTGGAAGAACTCAAACAATAATCAAGTAACGAGGAGGAGGGACAACGACAAGAGCACATGGTCCAAAATAACAAAATATCCATGTGCTGCACAAGACAGGACAGGCATGTGACCCCGGATGCACACTGTGCGTTTTATTCCTTTACGGTTGTTGCTTGTTAAACGATCATGATTAAAATGGTGACAAAGAAATCTCTAACGTTCATTTTGGTCATGGCTCTTCTTGAAAAACGTCGTAGGAGAAATCACACTGCAGGACTGAGAGTCAAATCTTCTGACCCTGCCAGAATTTCGTCTGAGGTAAAATTGGATCGCGAATGTCATTAATTGGCTATCGTGAACATGTCAAACTAACGATCAAATACTTCAGATTTTAGCACAGGATCAGAGGAATCTTTTAGGTTTTGCTAAATTTGTCTCAGACTGTGTGCACCCAGCTTAAGGGTTTGTAGATTATAATCAGATCTTTATGTTATCTTGTCTGTTAACAATTCAGGTGAAATATTTGCCACAATGTTATACAAGTAGATTTGACTTGGAAAATCCTACATTTTGACGATTTTCATTTACATTTATTATAGTGTTTACTACTGATGCATTATAAAAAGCATCTTTTGTTAAATAAGTCTTTTTTACATTGGGTATTTGTACTTACTGTTGTTGCAAATGAAATGTCGAGCATAACTACATAGCAAATCATGCCATTCTCCATTTCTCATCATAGCACACATCTCTTCTCTATCATCAGGTTGTGTAGGTGCCCAGTTCAGATAAAGCGCAGGTTCACCTGAAGACCACTGCCATTTATAAACACCCGTCCTCTTCAGCCCAATCCAGACACGTTCATCATTCACACTCTTATTCAGCTCGTTCATGTCGTTCATGTCGTCAACGGTGGCCAGATCTGTGTATTTCTCTCTGCAGAATCTCTGAGCTTCAGTCCAGGTCTTCAACACGTTTATAAAGTGATACTGACGCTGAACACATTCAGATACGGAGCAGAGAGCTGTGAAAGAGAGCGTTTGATTTAATGCTTTTCATAACAGGGTCAAACCTGATCAAACTATAAATCACAAACACACTCACCAATGAGAAGAAGAATCAAATATTGAGTTTGCTCCATTTCTGAGGAAAAACACATTGAAAACTCAAAAACTCACATATTCATCTTCAGACTAAAACATGTACTAAAAACATTTTAGCAGCATAACACAATGTACTGTCAATCAGACAGTATTCTCAAAGTCTTATTGTAATTTATTTGAAGAATGAACATGTTCTTACTTTAGAGGTCGTGTGTTTCTGTCCTGAGTCTGATGTTTCTGTCTGCAGATTTACACTACGTGATTATTATATCTGCTCTCACCCCTCATTCAGGTCAAAACATCATTTGTGTATGTCACTAGAATTTATTTTCATATTTTACTTCCTCTGTGTATTTTTCCACATCTATTCAATCCAGGAAAACAAGTGTAGAATATTTCTCCCCTTATTTGTATTTTTTACACCTGTGTCAGTGTAAGTTCCTCTTTGTATTAAATATGATTACATTAATTCTTCAATAGTGTTTCTTCATCTGTGTTACGTCCTTAGGGACGTTTATAGTGTTTTTGGGTGTGTTTTGTGTTCTCTTTTTGGTCTCTTTTGTTTCTTCTACTGTCACTTTCACAGGCCATCGCTGATTGGCTGTTTTGCCTGTCAGTCATTTATAATAAAATACTGTATATGGTTGAGTGGGTGTGTCTTGTGAGGCGGGATCGTCGTCCTCCTGATGCTTGACACCTGAAGAAGCCCTACTTAAGGAACATGCTACTGCCAATGAGGGAGAGACAATTTTTGTTTTGACCTTTTTTGTGACGTGTTTCTTTTTGCTTGATTTAGTTGTTAAGTGTTTTGTCTGTCATGTTAATCTTGCCCTTTTGAGTGTTCCAAACTTCTTATTTGTGAGCACTGAAAGTTTTAAACTGATCTTCAAAGCTGGCGAAGGGTAAGCATGAAGGAGGACCCCTCTCCTCCTTCCGAACCAGATGTGGTAAGTTTACGGTAAGTGCCGTGGAATTTTTTATCCTTTGAAAACATCCCTCGCGTTTCTGTCCTGCAGTGAGTGCAAACAGAGGGTTTGCAATGGAAGAACAGCTGGGAATAAAATGCGGGTAGGAAAATACCGTGCCAAGAAAGGACTTTATTCTTTTGACAGAGGGCGTACAGCCATCATTTTCCATCAAGTCATCTTCATTTATATAGCGCTTTTAAAGGATTAGTTCACTTTTGAAAAAACTTTTGCTGATAATTTACTCACCCCCATGTCATCCAAGATGTCCATGTCTTTCTTTCCTCAGTCGAAAAGAAATTTAGGTTTTTGATGAAAACATTCCAGGATTTTTCTCCATATAATGGACTTCAATGGGAACCGGATGGTTCAAGGTCCAAAAGACAGTTAATAACTGTTTCAGATGCAGCTTCAAATGTCTTTAAACGACACCAGACGATGAATAAGGGTCTTATCATGCGAAACCATCGGTTATTTCAAAGCTTATTCCAAAAATGTAACTTTTCTAAGGACAAATGCTAGCCTTTCTCCATTCTGTGAGGCGCGTTTGTAACGTCACGTAATACGTAATTACGTTCAAAAGGTCACGGGCGACGTAGCCGGAAGTACAGAATCAAAATCGTCCGACATCGTTGTTTTACCTTTTAATTCCTTTTTTGTAAACGGCGTTTGAGTTAGTTTTCACGTTCAACCTATGCGTTCAACTTGTAAACACTCTTCAACTTGTAAACACTCTGACTCTGTACTTCTGGCTACGTCGCCGGTGACCTTTTGAACGTAATTACGTATTACGTGACGTTGCAAACGCGCCTCACAGAATAGAGAAAGGCTAGCATTTGTCCTTAGAAAAGTTACATTTTTGGAATAAGTTTTGAAATAAGCGATCGTTTCGCATGATAAGACCCTTATTCATCGTCTGGTGTCGTTTAAAGACATTTGAAGCTGCATCTGAAACTGTTATTAACACTATCTTTTGGACCTGAACCATCCGGTTCCCATTGAAGTCCATTATATGGAGAAAAATCCTGGAATGTTTTCATCAAAATCCTAAATTTCTTTTCGACTGAAGAAAGAAAGACATGGACATCTTGGATGACACGGGGGTGAGTAAATTATCAGCAAAAGTTTTTTCAAAAGTGAACTAATCCTTTAACTATGTAGAATAGCCGCGTTTCCACTACTGGGCTAGGGCAGGGCCAGGGCTAACAGTGAGCCGAGCCAAGCCAGTGGCCTCGGGCCTCAAGCACGGGCTTGCGTTTCCACTGTCGGGCCAGCAGCCCTGCCCTAAACCCCGCCTCTAACACGCCTTTCTAACAGAGGGACGGTGACCCAGCACACCGTCCATCAAGTCGATCCATGGAAAGTTCCTTCTCTGAGCTCCGCTTTGTCCATTGTGCATTTTAATCGCCTTGTACAATACTGCTCCCGCAACTTTTCTTATTTTTTCCTGAACTTGAAGTGTTGCTTGCTGAATGTTTAGCTTACAAAGTTCAGCATCGATGTATTTTATAACGTCCTCGTTTCTTCACACGCCGTCAAAGTGATGTCGTACCCTTTCTTCTGCCCAAATGTTCAGAGGAGTTTTGGTATTTTCGACAGACCAGTACAGGCGATTCTCCATTTCCAGCAGTGATTATTTTGCGCGATTATTTCACAAAGTGAAATGTGCATCTTGCTTCAGATCATAACGTTCCATAACACCAATAAACTACGCCTTTGAGCACACCTCTAACCCGAGCTGTCCCGCTTTGGCCCAAGGTATTCGACGGGCCAGAAATCCTAGCCAACGGCCCTGAGTAAGCCCTGATCAAGCCCCGGAAGTGACAGTGGAAACGCGACTGGCCCTGGCCCGGCAGTGGAAACGGCTATTGTTCCAAAGCTGCTTTACAGTGATAATAGCAAATTGAAGTAACAAAGATTGTTTGTTCAGCTCTAGAATTAAGTTATTTTCCAGCTAAAGTTAGTTTTAATTGATTCACTTCCGTCACAACTAACTTAGTTGCCACTAACACCACACCGTTTTAACGTAAAACTCTAAAGTTCACTCTACGCAAACTTTAAAAACGCGAACCTGTGAGAACTCCGATGCTGGCGCTGGTGCACATGCATATTAAGAGTCCATTCTATAGGGATGCACGTTTGAATATGTGACCGAGTGTTGAGCTTTCATCCGTGTGATACCTCCACTTTGGCTGGATCAACAGACACTCCTTTACTGTCAATGATGTGGCCTAGAAATTTGACCCGCCTTTGAAGAATCAATTTTAGATTGTTCTCCCTTATTCTCTGAAACACTGTGCAAGCTGGAAAGAGTCTCACTTTCTGATGGTGCAAAGACAAGAAGGTCATCAAGATATCACAAGAGCTTTGAGAAATTCATATCACTGAAGATATCACCATATACTTCTTGTCCTCCTCATTCATCAGGATAATATAAAACCTTGATGTGAGGTCCTTTGGGCTAATGAAGCAATTTCCCCCAAGCACAGCAAGGCAGTCAGCCTCGTGTGGAAGGGGATGTGTGTCCTTTACGGTTTTAGCATTTAGCCACCTAAAATCTGGTCATATACGCCACCAACCCACCATCCTTCTTCCACACCATCACCAATGGTGACGCATACTCAGTTGAAGACTTCCTGATGATACCTCTTTCTTCCATGTCAGTGAGAAATTGTCTTAACTTCTCATAGTGGGCACGAGGCACTCACCTATAAGGTAAGCGAAAGGGTCGATCATCAGTCAACTGTATACTGTGATGGGAATCCACTCTGCGTTGTGTTGAGGGCCTGAATGAAGAAGCTTCAACCCTCTTGCTGTTAATCACAGCCTTCAAATAAATAAGTAAATAAGTAATGCTAACATGATCTTCAATAGTCACAATCAGTCACAAATACGTTTTTTATAATTCCCCATTGCAAAGTATGTTTAAGAATATAAGAAACAGCTTAAATTCATAACATATTAAATATCGTAAGTAACTTTGTTACACACCCAAGGAACTCAAAGTTCCTGTAACTTTTAGCGGAATTAGCCTCTTTTAGGCGGGTTTGCACCACAGGGACTAGTAATGATTTTAGTAATAGGAACACCTTTTGGAGGAACTAAACTAGCCCCTAGTTTAGGGTCTAATCCAGCACAATAGGAACTACCAATGATGTAAGTGTATGCTGATTGGCTGAATAGGTGACAAGTGAAACACCGGCTCTCGCCAATAAAAAGTAAAGTATTTCAGTTAAAATTATAAAAATATTGGAGAGGGTTTTTTTTTTTCCCAGGCCCTCCTCCTCAGACTCAATGGTCACATGAGTTGCAAGATTGAGGACACGCAGCAGGAGTGAGAGCAATTGACCATTCGCAGAGGACCCGCCCCCTTTAGTTACTGTTGCTATGTACGATAAGCCATGCCGCTCTCACACATCACCATGTTCTTACGCAGTGAAAAATACATCACAGAGCAGAGAGGACACAGACAGACCAGGTTACTTTTAATATGAAACACACATTTTTTTTTAAAGAAATGTAAATAATAAATACCTTTTTAGTGGCTCTTGTGTGTCACTGATATGTGACAGATGGACGAAAGCCTCAAATGATCATCTCTTTCATCAGAAGGAATATAGTTTCAACCTTGGAAAGATGTTAGTACTCACCATTTTTTTCAAGGTCAAATCCAGAACGCTAATCTAATCTCTACTGACAAAAATTGTGTATTCTGCGTATTGTGGATTGTGATTAGTCAGATCGCCTATCATTGGCAGGCTGTCAATCAAACTCCATGCGAAAGGTGAATTGACAATATAAGAGAAAATCCCTACACTATACATTGATCAATGAATACATTTGCATTGTAGGTTGGATAGAGTTTGGGATTTCCAACCCAGTTTGCTGGTTTCCATTCCATTCCATTGGTTTCCAAAGTAGAATAAGTGGTTGTAGCATTTTTTTTCTTCAGAGAAACAAGTATGTGCATATTTCCTAATACTCTGCAAACAAAGTGTGTTTTTATTTAGAAGTAGGGAAATACATAAGTACGGAGGAAGTTAAATATGAAAATTAGTTTTTGAAGAAATAAACAAATGATGTGATGTGCAAAATGAGGGATGAGAGCAGATGTGTAGCAGCTGGCAAACATGAGGCCAGACTCCCCTCATCACAACACAAATCCCCTTTAATGCCATGATGAAAATGACAGGACTTTAAAACCCACACCTCCAAAAGCTTCTACAAACAAAGAACCATTGCCAGGTATCATTTGTGGAAGGGAAGAATGATGAAATTAGCATGTTAGTGATTACAGACTGATCCCATTTGCCCGTTGTTC